CTTCTTGGTGAGCCACAGCTCTGAAGCTGCAAGAAGCCCCTGAGCTGCAGCACAGCTTGAAGCCACAGTTGCCCTGGGAAGCCCCAGCCCGGCCCAGCCTTGCAGTGTGAAGCCACATCCACAGCTACCCCCACTGCCCTGCATTCCAAGGCCCCTGCTGCCCTGCACTCTGCCACCCCAGCTGACCTTCGCCATCTTTTTGCTCCCGCTCAGCCTGGCCCTTTGTGAGGCAGCTGCTGGCCACATGCCTTCTTCCCCAGGTCTCACAGCACGACTTCAGGAAGAAAGCCTTGCACAGACAGCTGCTGTCTCATGAAGGGCCAGGCTGGGCATGCCTGGTCAGTAGCGGGAGCAAGAAGACAGCAAAGGTCAGCTGGGGTGGTAGAGCGCAGGGTGGCGGGGCCTCAGAGTGCAGGGGGCCAAAAGGGCAGAGATGGAGGGGGAGATAGGCAGGTGGGAGGAGTTGAAGCGCCCCATGATCATAAGTGCAGACAGGCTGCCAAGTGCATGAATTTTGATCACATGACTGCAGAGGCACTGCAACGGCCATAACTTTGGGGACCAGACGTAAGTACCATTTGTTCAGCATCACCGTAACTTTGAACAATTGCTGAACAAATGGTCATAACTCAAGGACTACTTGTATGGATCAGAAGAGGCCATGCAGATGGAAGGCCAGTGTCTGATGGGCTGGATGAGGGCTAAGAAGGTGAACTTGGCAAAAAACACATTTTCCCTCCTTTTTGGAACATCACGTGTTGCCACTCCAGGAAAGAGATAGCGGAGACTCGGTGACTCATTAATGCCTTAATTGCTGTTATGTTACTGTAGGTGGGACTATCCTTAGGTATGGTCTAGAACTTACAATTAGTGCAATGTGAAATAGCAAGAGTGCTGGTTCATGAAATTTAGCCACTGCCATGAACATGTCTCCTGAAAGTACTGCACTGTCTGTTGACTGGAAATGGCCAGGCTTCAAGTTTTGATATTAATCAGTACAGCCTTAAATAACTACAAATCAGGACACCTGAGAAGATGCCTTGTCCCATGGAAGTCTGTCCAAGCACTGTGATTGTTACTACAGGCAATCCTGGTTGTGCCAGATTATATAGGTTTTTCTGACATCAATAATTGGAAATAGCACTAAAATAAGGCTGGTTCGGAGGATGACTGAGATGCACAGGTCAGGAGTTTCCATGTCCTTAGAAAGTGATTTTAAAAAACTCAATTCTAAAACTTCTTGCAATAATGTATTATGCAAGGGATTAATCAGACTGCTTTACATCTCTCTGAATCACATGTTCTCTTCCAAAGGTTTCAACATTGGTTTTGTTTATTCAGAACAAGATATAATTATACCTTTAAAGCATAAAAATATCTTATTAAAACCTTCACAATGTTTCGTAGCTGTTTTGCCCAACTGAGCAATTTTCAATTTGGAAAAAATCAACATAAAATGAAGAGTTTAAAAATTAATCAAGCTCTTAAAACATGCTAGAAAACATTAATAATAGTTGTAGCAATAGTAGTAGCAGGAATCTGAGGCAGAATAGCAGCATATTCTTATGACATCCAAGGCAACTCAGTTAAAATTCATTTCAATCGGCTATTGCCTTTTTTTTAAAGACTAGAGCTCTCCTAAATTTCTAGAAATAAAATATTTTCTTCCAAAGAATCAGCACAAAACTAACTGCACATCCTATCATCATTATGCCATGAACACATACAAAGAGGAAACAGCAATTCACCATGTCTTCCTGGTTTATTTACATCCCAAACATTCCAAGTAAAATTTGTAAATGCACATAATTCCACAGGTAGATGAGCCTTCTTACAGAATTATAAGTAGAAAGGTGACCGGAATGTTTTCCATGAAGGATTTTCAGCAAATCACTCCCCTTTGGAAGTATTAAAAGGGAATAAATGAGGAATAAAATAAGAGGAAGGAAAAAATGTAATCAAATTGAAACTAGACAGGATCATATATTCAAAACTAACTGATTAGAAAACATATAATCTGTCTGATCCCTAACTGGCTAGGATTATTTTTTGGAAACAGCAGCCTTAGTTGTTTTTTTTTTTTTAACAGTTGTAATAGCCCAATCCAACTGCTCTCACAAATACCACTAAACCAAAAAACCATTTATATATAACTCCATGTGGTTAGTTGTTTGAAGTGATGGACTAGGATTAGTGGGACCCAACTTCTAGTCCACCCTTAACCACAGAAGCTCACTGACTGATTTGGGCCACTCACTGTCTGGCTGCCAAACCTATCTCACAGGGTATACCACCTTGAGCTCCTGAACTAAAGGCAGAATATAAATCTAACCAAAAGAAAAAAGAAAAAAAGAATAAATATTCAGAGTACAGCCCTTTTTCTGGAGGCACTTATGAGTACCTTCCTGAGGCATGTGAGAAGTTGAAAGGCAGCATTTATAAAGTGCATTTATATATTTTGTGATATAATGGCATTTGGTTTAAACGTTTTAATTATAAAATGTTTTAAAAGTTAAAAGGCTACCACAATATTTGTAATTGTTCTATTATAGCTCTTAATCAGAGTTGTGTAAATGTGCTTTCATCACTGTTATGACAAAAAGCATTATTACTGAAAGTCAGAGAACTAAGAACTTGCAACAAGGACTCTTTAGTTGCAACTGTGTTGCAGAGAACTTCAGTGTAGTTTTGAGGGGGAAAAAAAGCTGCTTGAGTACAGGGCTCAAAAATAACCGTGCTTTGAGAAGTCAGTGGAAAGTGAATAATTAAGCAGAAATGTCAAAAAAAAAAGGGGGGGGGAAGGGAAGATGAGGCAGACATTGTGCTACCAGAAAAACTGCATGGAGGACTGAGGCAGTGAGGTAAAAGACCGATTGGAAGGAAGCAACACGTTAGAACATCTACCACAACTTCTGAACAAAAGAATGTGTTTATTTGAAATGTACCTATTTGCACAAGTCTGGGCAGCTTATAATTGGAGGACTGAAATATTCCAGCATCCTTCAAATTGTACCTGGGAAGCACACAAGCAGTAGCTCCCTACAACGTCTCTAACACCTGTTATACTGTTCAGGACACAGAATTACGTTGAATGGTGTCGCCGGTTCCAGCACTGCCCGGTTGGAGTGAGAAAGACACTCAGGGGAGGGAAGGAGAGATTGCAGTGATGAAGGCCAAGCAGGGGCAGGCAACGGAGCACCAGGTTTTGGACCCCAGTCCCCATTAGCCCTCCCAGCTGGGGGGCAGCATCTAGCCAATCCTGGCTAACCTCGAAACATCTGCAGCGTTGGGACACGTCTGCTTGGCTAGGAGACCAGGAAAACAGCTGTAGGCTACAGTGGGACATTCAAAAAATACCTCGGGGGAAGGGAACAGCGAGCGGTTTCCGTACTGTTACCAAGAAAATCGCACGGATTCGTCCACCAGGGCTCAAACCCAACCGGAGGGGGTCTTCCCTTGACCAACTGCCCGGCCGATGCCCAGGAGGCCCGGAGCGCTCGTCCAGGCCACCCAAAGGCTCCCGAGAGCCAGGGCCGAGGCCAAAGGGGGCCACGAGCGGCCACAGCCCCTGCAGCGGATCTGGGGCAGGAAAAGGTGGGTCAAAGACCCCCGGCAGAGGCGGCCAAAAAAGGAGAGGGCGTCCTAAACCGCGCCTGTCCCAACCGGGAGAAAAGCCTGAAGATGGCGGGGAGGAGGATAAGGCGAACGTATACAGGCCGGCGGCGGGGAAGCGGCACTGGGGGGTAAAGGGAAGAACTACAGGGGCCATTCCTATCGCTCAGGTGCGGGGTTGCCCCCTTCGCCCTCGGCGCAAAGGTCGCTGGGAATTGTAGTCTCTCTCCTCAACTTAGGGAGGACGACCGTCGCGCTCTCTTCGTGCACGACACAAACCCCGCTCTCCCACTCGGATTTCCCGTTGTCCCCTGCGCCGGCCATGAAGCTTCCCTTGAAGACTTCTTGCACAACTCGCGTTCCCCTTTCATAGCGAGACCGGGGGACTTCAAGTCCCAGGGTACCTCACGCCACCACCGCTTCTGCGCACGCGCAATGCGGGTGAGAGGTCAGAGCGGCTACCTCAGGCCTCGGTCATCCAGGCCTCCCCCCTCCCTGAGTCCCGCTCACCGCGGACCCGCTGAGACGGGTACAGCCGTTGTGCCTTCTCCAAGAAACGGCGGGCCTTCTCAGTCTGATTGGCCTTGATTGCGGCTACCGCGATAGCAATACAACGCTCCGCTTCGTCCCTGTTGGATTCCATGGTGGCGGTAGCAGTGGAAGGCGCCGGCGCACGATGATACGGTCATAGCGTCCCCTGCTGGAATCTCCCTAATTGTGCGGGCGGCAAACTCTACCATACTGTTTGGGATAGCCGCGCCACAGAATGTCATAATATCTCGAATAGCCTGGCAGTACAAAGATGGTGTCTGCTACTGAGGGGGACGGATACGCCTGTCTCTGAAGTAGCAGAAAAACTGCGTTGCTAACCTCCCTGTTGATCTGCGGGGGAGAAGGAAAAGTTGGAAGGATTAAACATAGTACTGTCCTTTTCCAGACGGTATTAGAGATGCATGCAATCTAATTGCAGCTCTCCCAGAATGCGTTAGACTCGCGTTCCTCAACCTCAGCAACTCTGGCTGGGGAATTCTGGGAGTTGAAGAGCACACATCATAAGTGTTGCCAAGGTTGAGAAACACTGCGTTAGAAAACACCTTCGTATTCTGATGTAATCCCACCCATCTGGGCTGGAATTGGGCCAGCTATTGCTTTCATTGATGATCACTGTTAGCGGTCCTCTCTACAATGAGCAACCAAAGTCTGTGGATATCGGTCAGCCTATCTCGACATTTTTAAGTCAATGCAGTATCAAAGTTTCAGTTTCTCTCCCTCTTGAGTTGGGGTGATGCCTAATAAGTGTATGGGCATGTTTGTAGCCAATTGCTCTCCTCCCAGGAAACCTCCTCTTCCCTTCTAATGATTTGCCTTTGTACACTAAGACACTTGGGAAAGTTGAAAAGCATTAGGGTACTATTATTATAATTATATGCAAGTAACACATGAATATTTAATGCATATTTTGAAAGTATTCCTCACCCTCATTAGAATTTTGGACCACAGTGTTTCTGCCTAGGGAACAATCTCCAAGTTTTAGGGTTACTTTCCTACTTTTTCAAATATTATTAGCACTTAGATTCACATTCTGCCTTTCCTCCAGGAGCTCAAGGCAGCATACATAGCACTTCCTCCGTTTGTTTTTTTAATACAAAAACAACATTTTGTGAACTAGGTTGGACTGAGACATAGTAACTGACTCAAAGTCATCCGATGAGCTTCCATAGCTGAAGGTGAACTAGAGCCTGGCTCTCCTTAAATTGGCTCTCTTTCTTTGTAAAATTATGAGATTATCCTTCAGACGCTGAATATTTGCTTAAAAATTGTGTTATCAATAATTTTTGTCATCAACTTTTTTTTTAAATCCTTTTTGGGAGCATCAACCATTACTCTAAGAGATGAAATAGGCTTTTTAAAATTTTGTTTGCCTATTAAATAGATATTTAAGAGTGTTTAAAGGTCAAAATAGGGATGCTAAACTTTTTTAGAGGTTAACACTTTTTTTAGTCCTTACAGAGAAAAAACAATTGAGAAAATTTGGCTGATTCCCACCAAACTGGGATGATGCAATCTTGAAAATCCTTGGCCTCAATATGGCACAGCAGTGCCCTCTCAAGCATCTGAGAAATTGGGTCAGGACAAAGAATTCAGCTCTTGTGTCCCCCAAAAGTCTTCATAGTGTTATTCAGTTCCAGCAAAATATCCATAGACTGGGATATAATCTCAAGGTCTGCCTCTATTACCAAGATACCGTGCTATCCATCCATCCTCAAGTCAGCAGAAAAACGACACCACCATGAAATCTACTGTCCACGTTGGCTGTCTTTCTCCTACCTCTCTTTCCTCTGTTCCCAGTCACTGCCAGACTTCCCTCCAAGGTAATTGGTGACAAAGTCCAACCAATTTTACACAGCTTGAGGCTACCTTTGGACAGGGTCAGAATCAGGAGAAAAAAATTATTTGTACATTTAAGGACAACTTAAGCCTCTTTTCACTCGGGCTGGGAGTGAGGAGAAGGCAGTGCCATGGAAATACCATAGAAAAAAGATGTTGATGGAGCTTGTATAGGCTGTATGGCCTCAGAGATGTCCAGAAAGCCATAAATCAACTCCCAGGGCAATAACAATGTTCTGTTTCAATATAATAGGCAAAATTCTAGTAGGTAGTTCAAATTAGGTGGCCAGGTTCAGAAGACAGAATGCTAGCTGTCAGGTCTTTTGCTTACCAGCAAATTTCCTCTGTTGAAACCTCACACAGAAGGCATGTTAAGTCAACTCCCACAACTCTCTGTGCTTGCAACTGGCCAAAGGTGATTGTACAACTTGGATTGGCAGCTGTTGAATTTAAGAGGTGAATTAATTCCAAAGCTGATGGGGTCAGAACCTATTCAGCTGAACCAAATAGAGGACAAATGGCAAATGAGAATGAGGGAATGTAAGGCTCTTGCGCTCCAGGTTAATGAGGAATTGGCCACTTCAATGCAATGACAATATTTGCCAGTTCATTTGTGGCCATAGTGATATAAAGTTATAGTCCCCATATTTGAAAGAGAGATTTGAGAAGCCTGATTTGGCAAGAATGCAAAGTTAAGGTATTCTCACAATATGACTAACTGAATAAAGATACTAAGCATGACTAGGCCTGCTTGGGGCTAAATTTAAAGTCCAGCAATTATTCATGGGTCAATTGATACTTTTTTGGTGTTTACACAACACACTCCCCTCCTCTTGTCCAACTTATTTTGGGAAGGGTCAGGGGCAATTCTCAGAGCATGAATGGAAGGAACTATGTTCATTTCACTCAGAAACAGAAGAGTTTGGCTGCTATATCACTGGAATCAAGAAATTTCCTCCTGGGGAGCCAAAACTGGCCATTCCAGAAAACAGAATTCAGGATGGGTTCTAAGCTGAATCTCATACTGCCTGCCGTTTTGGCATGTGGGTTGAACATTTTATGACCGCCCCCCACGGGTGCCTACTCCTGGCATCAGGAAATTTCCTTGAGGTGAGCCAAAATCGGGTGATGTAGAAAAGAGCTTCCAATACCATTTCTAAGCATAAAATTCCACCACGAATCTCATCCCATCCCCCTTTTTTTCATTTGGGTTGAACTTCTTTTGTGGCACCCACCATGTATGTCTACTGGCAGCATCAGGAAATTTCCTCCCAGAGAGGCAGAATGGGCCATTCCACAAAAGAGCTTCTAATACCATTTCGAAGCATAAAATTCCACCACGAATCTGATCCAGCCCTCTGTTTTTGCATTCAGGTTCAACTTTTTTGGAGCCACCCGCCCCGTGTGCCTACCTTCAGGAAATTTCTTCCCGGAGAGGCTGTTTCAGAAAAAAGCTTCCAATACCATTTCTAAGTGTTAAATTCCACCCTGAAACTCATCCTGCCCTGTTTTTTGCATCCGGATTTATACCACAAAATCCCTTCTTCTGCACTTGTGGAGGAGGACATTAAACTGCCTTGACGTTCCTGCTCAGGTGATGAGATTTTGCTCATGGGCTGCCCAAAAGCATAAGACCTTTTGAGACTATAGGTAGCAGTAGGTCCACATGGCTAAAATGTTTATATATTTACTATTTTTAAATGGCATGGCTCATCATAACTCTTAACTTTTAGATTAGCTTTATTTGTTTCAGATTTTAGACTAACTTTATATGTTGTATGCTCCCTATGTTGGTTCTAGTGTTTTATAATATTTTATGATATTTATGTATTGTACTGGTCAAGGACCAAAAGAAATATGAAAGCTGGGAAAAAAAGCTGTAGGACAATTAGTCTGGATAATTATTATTAAAATAATAATATTTTGATAATAATATAATTAAAAATAATAGGATAATTGCCTTAATGCTTCCCCCTTCCTTCTATTCCATATTCATTCTATTGAGTTGTTTTGCTTTCCCCTAATCAGCATGATTATAATTGGTTTCTTCTTTCTCCTTCAGTGGAACTCAAATTCATGCTGTAATAATGAACTCATGTCATGACTAACACACCTGCCTCCTCCTCCTCCTCCTCCTCCTCCTCCTCATTTAACCACTTACTTTTCTCCAAAAACTCCACTATCCTTAAGATATAGCTTTCTCAGATCCTGTATCATCCTTTCCTTATCTTGTAACATACATTTGTATTTTTAAAGCTTCCCCAAGTCTGTCAGTATTGTTCTTCTTCCAGTACTTGTAAGTTCCTGCTTGTGATATCAATGATACCGCCTAGCTATGTTATCTTCTGTAAGCA